AGACTGAAAGAGTGACAACATAGATAAAGGCTGTGTAGATCACCTACAAATCTGGACTTTCAAAGATGCTGTTATTACATATATGGGCCCAGTGACAATTATAGCTCTCTCTTTTCCTATTAAGAACAAGCTGATTTCTTTCAAATAAAAAGACATCCTRTAGTAAGTTATAGCTAAATCCTTCCAGAAAACAGCTGTTCTTTAGTTGAAGTTGGCATTCACTTTTACATGTTCTCAGGTGTAAAAGCAAAGATGAGCAATAGAAGTTACATCCATGTCCTGTTCACTAAAAATACTTTGGTTTCCAGATTTTTAGCTTTTGCAGAGCTTTTCACAATATACACAATAGCAATCTTGACTGTCTGTCAAGATGTGCAATAGCTTAGTTTAAATTTTAATAAAGGATGCATGTTTCTGTCTACCTCTTTCCCTGGCTAGCAAGACAGAAATTTTTATATGGAACTGCTCGCTTTTCTACCTTGTTGGCAAGTGCACTTAACTTCAGATAGGTTCTAACCATATCTCATGGAGAGATATTTTTCAAGAATATTCACAGTGACCCTTTTATTCTTCTCCTCTGAACATTTATTACTATTTTTGTCTGTGCTACTTACTTTTTTGCCTCTAATAACAAACCAAAAATTTTTTGTCATGCTGATGAATACTCATATTTATTATTTATTTTGTCACATAAACTTATATCAGTTCTCAAAGTGACAGCAACTTGAGCTTGTGATCTTTATTAATATATTCCTAAGGGATTATTTGATATCTGTCTTCTAAATATCTATCTAGGCCATCTTTCTAGAGAATGGAAAATAAGTAAGAAGAGGTTAAATAATGCATTTCCTCCATTCAGAATATCTAAATTTCAAAAGGAAAAGTCTTTCTTTAATCATCAGCTTAATATTTTCAAATAAATAGAAATGTTATTTAGTAGCTCTTGTGGCAAAATAGGCACCAGGAAAACAGTATATATTAGTAGTTACCTAGATAGAAACGTACTTGAGTTATAAAGAACTTTTAATGCGGACTGATTCTSTAGAGATTTTCTAAAAGAACATTCTTTTCTGTCCTTATTAGCATCTGAGTTACAAAGAAAAAAAAAGTGTCATCAGGGAATTAAACAGTACTTTCAGATGCTGTTTTTTTCTCTCTTTTTCTGGATCAACAAAACAACCAGTTTTGCTATGTTTTTGTCCCTATTCATCTACCTTATTTCAATGTTGCAAACTCTGTCTAAAACAAGACTTGTGAAACTGGATTCTATACTCAGGATGTGAAGTTTTTGACATTCTAATATTATTAGTCTTCCAGGAGCTCCTAAATTGTCCTCTTCCAATTAACAAGCCAAGAGTCTGCATCAGAAACCTATTTGTTCTACACCAATCAAGTCAGAGACTCCCATAGAGTCAGCTCTATGGGAGGGACTGATTAATAGTGATAAAAAGCTAAATGTTTTTTTTTAATTTTTTACTTTTTAAGTGGACTTAGCAGGAAAAAGACACAGAAATGACAGAAATATAACAAAAAGGAACAGAAAAAAACTATGAAAAGTGGGCTAACAAATGGAGAAATAAGATAGCAATACACATGGAGTGAGGCACTGGCAATATATTCGGAATTAATTTTAACAAGTGAAGAAATGAAAAGTAACAGAAATGTCACATCTTAGTAAAGTACATCATAATATGATGCCTCACTGCCTCTCTGTTGTCTCTCTGTTTCTATATCTTGATTCTTTTCCCACCTATCACACAAATTCCTTCTGTGAAGATTGTTAAACTATCCACCTTGAAATAAATTACCTCTTAAATATACATAGAGAATAATTACAAATATTTAATTTTAATGTATTACTACTGTCAATGTTTTCAAATATTGTTTCTGTGAATGATTCTGTTATACATTTTCCTTTTTTCCACCAATGAGAACTCTCTGAATCAAGTCATGAAGACTTGTTTGGAGTGCTTGGACTTTCCAAGTCTGAATGACTGAAATATTTTGTTGGAAAGAGCACGTACTTAATAATATATAGATGATTAAATAATATGAAATTCAACCCTGAGAACATAATATTTCCCACAGTGGTTACACTTTTCATTTGGATACTATAAATGTAAAAAAATCATTCCCAAAGTAAACTCTTTCTTTACCTGTTTATTTTATTTACACACTGAATTCCACAAATCACATTCCTCTCCCACATTATTTTATATCCAAATCAAATGAGTAGTGAAATAGGATGAACTGCCAACAAATCAGAGAAAATCATTTTCTTGTGTTTAAAAGGCATGGCAGATGGCAAAATAAGAAACAAGCAATGGTCAAGTTGATGCTGGTAAAAGTAATTGCTTATGAGTAGTGTTTTACAGTGAGAGGATCTACCTTTTATCTGAACAATCATTATGAGATCCTTAAGAAGCTATCTGTGCTGTTGAATGTCCAACCCACCCCAGTGGCTTTGTGTAGTCCTATGTATTGCACAAGGCAGCGGAGGCTGGAATTATATGAAAAAAATGTGATACAGGAGCAGAACAAATAGCATGAAATGTTTTCCATGAAACTGGCCAGAGAATTAATTATTGTCACAAGTAGGTAGAGATCTTTAGGTTTCAATACTTTCCAATTCACATATTCCACCTATGAAAAGCAACTCTAAAGCACAAGTTTTTTTTTCTCCTACCTGTTTGAGATGATTACATAAAGAAAGTAAATGAATTATTTCTATTTTTGTTATAAAAGAAATAGCRATGAATGTCTGTGTGCAAAATATAGAACAACTATGAATAATAAATAATAAAGACAAACTATAGAAAGAAGAATAAATCAGTAAGGTAGTGTGGTTGTCTATGATTGCTATAGAATTGCCTTTCAGCTTACAATTTTCTATTAATATATTGAATTATGTATAGTCATATAGAGTACAAAAGTCTAATCTTGAAACACTTAAAATTCTTCTGAATTTATCTTCAATATTTTAGAATTACCATAGTGCTAGCTGACTACCAGCTATTTCACGTTTATATCAAATTCTTTGACTTCCTATATACTGACAATTATATTCTGTAAAAACTAAAATGTTCACCTTAACATTATACTCACTTGGCATTTATTTTAAAAGCTAATGTTTTTCTATCATTCAAGGTAAACCAAAGCAATGGTAAACCATTCAAGGTAAAGCAAAGCAAATACTGCCATGAAGCCCATGTTTAATCCTTTTTTTTTTTTTCTTCTCTGAGTTTGACAACAGAAACCCATGTGAATTGAAAATAACAGTTTCAAAAAGTGACAGTTTGAAGAGGTCTTGAAAGTTTTCTTCAGTTTATAGCTTCTATTATAAAAATTCAATGCATTTGTTAACAATAACAACGAAATTAAAATACCACTTGTAGCAACATGGAGAAAAATAAAGAGAAAAATGTTATGTCTTCCATTAAGGAAAACAAGGAACCATTTCAGCTGTAACATCAAAACATGCAGGTGGGAAATAAATTTAGGAGAGTACAAAACTATAGGCTACAGTGTAGGCAACTGGACAGGCTGAGGAATACCTGGTTGTTTGTGTGTGATCACCTGATTTTTCAGTGTTTCCCTGGAAATACCACTTTGACAGAATTACCCATATTGCCTAGGAATAGCATAATGAGGAAGAATCCTTTCTTAAAGAATTCCATATCTAGAGCCACATCATATTTTACAACCCAAATCTAGACTGCCATCTGAACTATATTTGAAACTCCCTCATTTTTACACATCAATGCTACTTCTATATCCTGGAAAAGCTGTTTCCTTTCTGATACAGTGCCATGCTAAGCCTCATCTCTAAGTTTACCTACTTTTACTTGCTGTTGGTTGTGAAACACAATCTAGGATCTTCAGTTCTATCAGAGCTCTTGTACTCTAAAATGACTCTTAATTTTGAGAACATTTTTTGAAAATCCTTCTTCTTATCTTAAAATCCCAAGTATTATCCAAGCCTGTTTTCCTGTCCTGTCTTCCTTCAGGAAATAAYTGTTGGGCATCTAGATACCTAGCATCTAGATTTAGATCTATCATCTATCATCTAGATCTAGCAAGGCATCTAGATACCACAAAGACCTCAGCAGTCATATATGCTTATGTGCATAGACATACTAAATTTATGACAGATGTTTTACTATGTTTTTTATAACCACAAACATGTTTGCATACTCGTAGGTTGTCAGTACTACCAACATARAGCATCAGTACTTAGAATCTGCAGCATTTCATGCTTCTTAGTGAAGTGGAAAGTATACGCAAGCTGATGATTTTTGGCTTATATGCACTTCAGCAAACCAACCAAAATGTGACATGCCTTTTAATTCTCCAAATAGCCTTCCACTGGTTGCTCACCGATGCAGTATTTCTGCACATTTTTAAAAGCAAGTCATGTTCCACTAAATTACACAGACAAGGGTGTATAGCTCAGGGATACCATATGATTAAAAAAAAAAAAAAAAAAACCTTTGCAACTGAATTGTAGGGGGAAAAAAAAAAAAAAAAAGCACCATACACATGCGGGCACCCTATCTGTGCACAAAAGAAAATAATTAAAATGAAGTAAGTATCTGTCAAGTGTTCTCTCAGACACTGTATGCCCTTGAACAGATAATTGTCAATACTTGAAAAAAAATTGAAGAAAAGGCTTTGTTGCACTTGTTTTAATGCTTTCAGTTGGAAATGCTGTATTTTATTGCCTTCTTCTTTTTTTTTTTTTTAATTAATAATCTAAAGATATTCAGTGGAAAAATTTTGTAGCCTCAATATTTATAAATTTTTAATTTATTGTCAAAAAAAGACAACATCTTGTAGGTAAAAAAAAAAAGAATAAGTTCTTGGCTACAAGAATGCACAACAGAAATGTTGACCATTTTCTATTACCAAATAACAACTCTTGCACTCCCATATCATATTCTGATCTCTGTAGAAGACATGAAAATACACAGCCAAAAACACAGAGATCTAGAAGCACTTACATTTGCACTGTGATCACTTCCACTAACACAGACGACATCTTGTTTTTGAATTGTTAGTACCTCTTTCGTAAGCTTCAGTCGGATGTCATAGGCATTTTCAGATACTTCATCATACAACAATGCAATACCAGTTTTAGTCTGTGAAAACAAGGCACAGAAAGAAAGATTTTATTTATCAGGACACTTCAAAATGATAAAAAATAGCCTCTACCTCATTCAATACACAAAATCCATATAAATAAACATTTTTTTAATAAAAAGTGGGAAAAAGTCCTGCAAATGAGTTTCAAATGARCTACACATAAGAAGATTCTTATATAATGCAAAAAGATAGCAAAATGGTCTTTGAAGTAGATATAAATATGTAAGAAATATTTCCCAGTATATTGTTGAACAAAGGATTTTGTTTCTTTTTATTAATCATTCCTTTTATTACAAAAATCTGTGTTCTTCCTAAGTATCACCTTTAAGATACAGAATTCCATTATAGCACAAAACTGTTTTCAAATAGTAAATAATACAAATACACACATTGTGCACATATAGGTGTTACAGATTTCAGCTTGCTTAAGTCAAAGGGACATATATTTCAGAAGTTACATCAGCATCAGAATAGAAACTTGTAAAGTCTACTGGAAGTCAATCATTTTTTTGTAATAAAAAGTTGGCATCTAAAGATATTAAGCCTGTAGTCAGGAGAAATGATTATCCTCAAAGTTCTCTATGTGACTAATAGAAAAGAAATTCTGTTCTGACTTTGGTTTACTTACATATGCAGATTTCCTACTAAAATGGAATTCAGAACGCTATATATTTTTGATAAAATAAGTCGTCGAGTAMAATTCCAGAACTTTACCATCATTGCACAGAAGAGAAAGATTTAAGCACCTGTTCTGAAAACAGATTATCATATCTGAGAGTAATATTTGCTTATTAATTTATAATGTCAGTATTATCAGACCATTTAAGGTTTAACTACAGTGTGTTCTTTTTTTTTTTTTTTTCAAGGCTTTTGAACCAAGTCATTCATCTATTTATTTTATTTTTACTCTGATAATTAGCAGACTGTGTGATGGAATTAAAGAAGAAATATGCCCTGTGTACTGAATGAATGTTCCTCAACTTTTTAAAAGTAAAATTAAAAAAAWTTAAAAAAATAAAAAATTTAAAATAATAAAAATTTAAAAGTAAAATAAAAAAGGCATGTAACCTTCATAACAGTATTTTCATTACTATAAAGAGTTAACAGAGAGCTCTTTGGTGACTGTTAGCGAAACCTTTTGATTTTTTAACCTTCAACCAGTTCAATCTCAAGGCACTTAAATTTAGATGTCATGTAGCTCTATGCAGAAAGAAAACACCAAAGCATCCCTTATAGTCCACAGAAACGGAAAACATCATAGAAAGCAATCACATTTGCCCTTAGAGTTGTTAAGATGAATTGCTCATTGGGTTGTCCTCAGTGTCCCATGGAGGGCACTGCTGCCATTTTAGATAGTTTAGGATATCTAAGACAATCTATACATATATTTGTTCCTATGAGAAACCAACATCCAAAGCCTCTTCTAAATAGAGGCTTTGACAGATCTCCATGATTATAATGAGATACAGGCATCTGTCATGATAATACACATGTACCTGTCAACATTTTAAGCTTCAAATTAATAGCACTACAAAGATGTAAAAGGTAAAAAATCTCATCTAGGGTTCTGTAAAGTCAGTGGTGAAAAAAAAACACTTCTGGAGCACAATTTATCTGATCTATTCCACACACCTATCAAGAACGAAAGAAATTGCATCATAGCTCTCTACTTCAACTAAGAATCACACAGAATTACAGAATGGTTAAGGTTGGAAGGGACCTCTAGAGATCATCTAGCCCAACCTTCTAGGGACCAAGGGACCTAGAGCACATAAAAGAAAATAAAGGATAATCCAGATGTGGAAGTCTACTTCTGGACAGACGAATTTTTCTGCTGAGAAACACAAGTGTCTGCTGAGAATGCCCAAAGGAAAAAAGTTCAGTGGAGATAAAAACTTTTATTATTCTCATTTGTTTGTAAACTGACATTACTTTATATTCTCCAAGTTTTAAATTTTTCAGTATGATTTGATAATTTATCAGTACAATTTTATAAATGACAGGATATGTAAGCTATGTCAACACCATCTGCTTAACTGCTATGTTACATAGAAGGAAATATTTTCAAATAGAATTTCCTTTCAAATCACGCACCCATGTGTTGCTCCCATTCAAAGCTTCTGCATCACTACTTTATCCAGCCTGACAATCATTGTTGCTTTTGCTGATATGACAGATTATGCTTTACAGAAACATCTTGAGAGACACTTTATATAATCTAAAATCAGAACATTCTACCAACTAGTAAATGTTACACATGTTTAGAAGTAATACAATGAAAAAATCTGAACTTTTAGCTGTAATGGCTCATTAAAAAACAAATGAAACATGTAAAGTAAGTTATGATGAAGTATTTCCATGTTTTCTATCACGCTATTTAAACTGAAAGTCCCACTGGAGTTCATCTATTTCTATGTAAATGATACCTACTTCACACTTAATCTAACTTTTAATATGATTTAACATGACATGAAACAATATCCTATGTTTTTTTTCAGAATCAATACGACAAATCGAGACCTCTCAGCTTTTCAATCATTAACACTGGAAGATACTAACTCTAGGAAGAATAAACAATTGCATGCTACTAGGAAAAAAAACGAAATAGGTAATGCTGAGGAAAAAAAAAAATACTCTTCCACAGTGCTGAATATGAGGGAAGATTTTTTTTCATGTCCATGATGTAATCCATTATCATGCTGCATTTAATACATTCCAGTAAATTATTTCTTTTTAAATAGTATTATTACAGTGCGGATTCATGGTTATACTACAGAAAAGAGATAATGAACTGAAAAGAATGAGGAACAAAAAAAAAAAAAACATTAAAAAAATCAGAGATCTGGAAAACAGACCCTATAAGTAATTCTGTATGAATTTGTTTTTTTTAACCTTAAAAACAGAACAATGGGAGAGATGATGACAGTTTTCAATTACTTCAAAGTATATTACGAAGACAAATGAAACAATCCAATCCAAAAAAAAATCTCCTTTTAACATATTCCTACTGCAAGTAAACTTAAGTCTTCAGACATCTGGGATAGAGTATAGATTTTCATCACTGAGGGATTCTGCCAGAAAATTGAAGAAACATCTGTCTAAATGGTTTTGGGAAAACTGCCTGAGAAAGGGGAAATCAGAGAAAAACTAGGGCCTAACAGAAGTTATGACATTACAGAGGTTTGTGTGGGGTGAGAGACAGTTACCACTTCCAGGATATACAGAATCTACTTCTCCACGATTCCCTCAGCAGCAGAGTCTGCCCTCCTAGCACACACTGATGAGAGTACATGAAGAGTGGAGCAGGATGAAGACACCCTGGTCAAGCTTTCTTGGCTTCCCTGCAGAGGTGGTAACCTGGTGGTGCCTGATGAGTGAATGGAGAGTGGAGTGGAGTGAAGATATTACAGCCAAACTCTGCTGTTCTCCCTACAGAAGCAGCGGCCTGGTCATACCATGCAGCTGATAAGCCAGATATTATAATGAGATGTCTGGTGCTGGGCCAACAAGAGTGGCAGATCAGTCTCTTCTGATGGACTTTGCTCAAACTTCTACTCATTCTAATCTCAGTATAATAGCAATACACACCTCCATCCCAAAAGTTACTTGCTTCCAAGGAACGACCACTCCTCACTGAGCATGCTTTCCAGATTTTCAATTAACTTAATGGACTTTTTAAACCAATCAATAACAAAAATAAGTGTGACTACGGTCACTCAATCTACGGCCAAATGTAAAAAAAAAAACAAAAACAAAACAAAACAAAAAAAACAGAACTAAGGGGGAAGAAATACTATAATTACCATAATACTAATATCTAGAGTCATTACTTGCATTTGACTGGAAATATGCATCCTTCTATAATTCAAAGTGACTTTAAAAAGGTATCTGCATTGAAGAACTTGTTGGTGATACAGGACAGACATGAAAAATAACTAGAATATCTAAGTTTATCATGGCATTCAAAACAGGAATATTAAGATTACAGATATTATATACTAATTTTCATGCCAGTTAATCTGAAAAAAGACTGACTGAAAGAGAACTTACTTCCATGACCAGAAGATAATTCTAGACTTCAGAGGTTTTGAGTGAGAACATAAATATAGACTTTTTGACGGATCAACATGGAATGAAAGGATGAAAATAGCAGATACATCAGGATTATAAGATAATGAGGTCCTTAAACACACTGCTAGAGGTTAGAGGTTATTGTTAGGTTATTGTTCCTTAATACAGACCCCTTCTCTAAGGATGGAGACTACAAAACCTCCCTGGACAACCCACTCTGCTACTTGGCTGTCCTCCTGGGGAAAAAGCTTCCCTTTACGTCTGGTCTGAACCTCTGTATTTACAATTTATGCAAGTTGTCTCATTCAAGAAGTTGGGAAAAAAAATGGATTACGAGCACACATTTAACAATCACAGTTATTTCTTACAATGTAGTAAAAGGAAAAAAGACAGAATCTCTTGAATAATTCTTTCCCTTTCTCCCCTATTTTTTAAATCCATTTTATTATGGAAATATACACTAAATATTGCTAAAATATTCATGAGGAATYGTCTACTACTTAAATAGCAACAAATATTTTGACATTACCCTTTTTCCTCTTTTTCAGCTGAATAAAGAAAAGTACAAAACTTAGTTGTAACAGTATATAGTGACAGAGAGAAGACAATAAATTTGTTACAGTCATCAAATATGAGATATATGAAATATTCCACCAGTATTGCAATGACTTCTACTGGTTATTATAATGTTTGTTGTAAAACTTCAGATCTGACACTAAAATTTAAAGTTGTTCAAAAACAGCAGTGCTCTGGTGTTTAGTATCAGGGTGTTATGATGGAGATTTTCTTCTGAGCAGGAGCTCCGAAGGAGCAATTTAATCATTCTGCCTTGGTCTGTAGCTGGTGAAGCACTACAGTTAGTAGCACACCTAGTGATGTTCTCAGATCAGTTATGTTGAATCTATGTCCTCTCTCACCTCTGCATCCCAAAACTGCCCCTTTTCCCAACTAGCCGCTTTACTTTGCCTTTGCATCCATGAAAAGCAGTGAAGTAGCACGGGAAGCGTATGGGATTACAGCCTGCTCTGTAGGCAGAGGAAGAGAACTTGAAGTGTGACTTCCAGAAGAAGGTACACCGAAGGTTAGCTGCAACCTCCAGCTGGGATGTGAGAACTTATTTGACTGAACAAGGCAGAACTGCCCACAGCACAGCCTTGCCTAAAAACTGTAACCTATATAAAAATGCAAACTTCCRTGTAAGTCAATGATACAGTGTGTGGGTGTGCACTGTGAGATATAGCTTAAAAACTGCACCCATTATGATAATAGGTATTCTGAAAACTATAATAATATTCTACTGGAATAATTCCTGAGAGAAAAATATAATAATATGGTCTTTGAAAAAACAATACATATTTGTCATAGAAAATGTATTTTCCTCTATGTGATGATTAGCATTCTTGAAACTCAGAATTATAACTAACTGCTTTGCATAGCTAAAAGCATTTAATAGTATAAAAAAAGATGAAGAATTTAAAATGCTAATTCTATCAATGACTTGTACAAAAGCACCACTTTTACAGAAACTTCAGCATGACTGAGTTCAATTGAAATGTTTTGTTAGACCAAGAGTGATATGAGCACTAAGCATCTACCTGCCTGAGCTACCCAAAATGTTGACTCTCTCATAATCTTCTAGGAAAAGAAGTAAAAAATGCATCTATCATATGAATTTATATGTGGCCAGTCATGGAGCATTTGTTAATACATATATTTGCAAATATTACCACCGTTAAGTTTTAACCACTAAACTACAGAATGGTGCACAGGAATTCAGGTGTATTAGCCTTCTTTCACTTAATCATTGATTTTAATTTTCCATTTTAAGTGTAGTGTTCTTCAGACTACCTATCTTAATTTAATAATCTAATCATTTACATAGATAGTAAGAACAGGGCAATAATATTCAAAATACGATCTTGCTCACTTCAAATAGAAACTTAAACTTAGCAGAACATATCAAACAGCAGCTCTTACTGCTGTATTGCCTAGTTCTACTTTCCCTTCTCCCCACAAACTACAGTGAAAGAGTCGACTTTGACATTATCATGAAGTAGACTGAAAAGCAGCATTATTTTCATCCCTGAAAAGTAGCCAAAAGAAAATAAACTGTGAAATTTATTCCAGCCTGAAAGAAACTGCTCATGCTAGTAGGTTTTTTTGAGAATATTATTTTTATTTTTTTGAGAGTAGATTATTTTTAAGACATTAAGTCAAAAGTAACTTTTAATCTAGAATAATATATAACAAAACTGACGTAACAGCTGCCTTACTTCTATCTCATATGTGTTTGGAACATATCTTCTTTCAGCTCCCTTCATGATCTTAGTCTTGCAAGAAAAGTGATTAACAGCTGACTTTCAATATGTATGATATTAACAATTAGAAAGTAAGCAGTAATATCTTGTTTAATTACCGCAAGCACAGTGTGTCACCACCTAATTAGATATGATGGATTATTGTTATCCTCATGCGCCTCGCAAAAGATCAGAAACAAATTTTTGAATCCTGTAATGTGTTTAGAAAAAAACCTTTCAGAACATAATTTTAAATAAATTTTGCATATTTAATTTGTATTAAAAATACAAATTCTAAACTGTGCTAAATAGTAGTACTAAACAACATATTAGAATACAGATTCTAGCCCAGATTATAGTCCAAGCATAAACTATTGGAAAAAAATGTCTAATTTTATTTTAATTTAAATGATATATTTAAGGAAATTAATTACTGTTTTTTTTTTTCTTTTTTTTTCCCCAGAAATGGGGAAATAGGACAAAATCAAGTAGCCTAAGAATATGAACATATTCTTTTGCTTACAGCAGGTACTTACCAATAATACAAGTCATTTGAAACATGTAATATTTGGCAATAGATCAAAAGGACATCAAGACCAATCTTTATAACGATTATTTAAGAAATAGCTGAGACACTATCTAAAAATATATTTGATTGTTTATGCTATTGYTAGAATAACACAAATACAATGTAAGTTAAAAAAAAATTCTGAGCATTAAAGCAAGTCCAGGAGAAAGCTTTTATTTTYGTCTGTAGATATTGTATTTACAGATACAGATATGTAAGATCACTTAGGTAAATCCAGACATCAGAAATTAAAATCCTTTTAGCTCTACATTTGGCTACTAACCTGGAAAGTAAGGAGAAAGTCCAGCTTCATGTTTTATCCAAAGGCTTAATGGCACATTCAACCCATTTCTCTGTTAAGCTTTCTACCTCTTCTTTCAGTCTGGGTTTCAAATTTCAAATGTAACTTTGATGATCAGTAASTTTTTAATGCTTTCTAAATTTGACAGAACACTAATTAAATGTATCTAATGTCTGGGAGGGGACAGATGAAGACTTATGAAGACGCCTAAAATATATGGAAAAACAAAACTTTCTGTAACAAGATTTTCATAGTTCCTTTTTGTTCCTAAGAGAGCTTTCTTAGCAATAAAGTGAATATAAAGAATTGCAGTTACTATATTTGACTACAGAATTTGTAAATAGTTGATTACTATGTTGGACACCAGGTAGAATGGTCTTTTTTCAAAAGCATTTACATCTTGAATGAATGAGTTTCCGAACTTCCTGGGACTACTCCACATGATTTAAGTATTAAATCATTATACATCCTAATGGCAAGCACAGAATAAAGCTGGCATAGACCCAACTGAGCCTTTTTCAAAAAGAAGTCTTTAAACAAAGAATAATTATGATTGATTAAACAGCAGCTTAATATAAGTCACTTACATATTATTTAGCAATTAAACCTCAAGGAAGAAACAGCATTGAGAATAGGCTTTGTAAAAAATATATATATATAAAATATGTATAATTCACAAAATGAAGAAGCTGGTAAAATATCTGAAAATATGAGAGACGGAAAAGAAGGAATTCTCAGTGCAGACTACAAAAAAAAAAAAAAAGCGTACTTAAGAAGTATTCTTTACTTTAAGAGAACTTAAAGGCGAACTGCAAATATAAGGCTATACTAGCCAGTTCAGAAACATTTTTAATGATAAATGATAAACAGAATAAATTTCAGTTGAGATGTTCAAAGCAAAATTATGATAATAAAACAAGAAGAAACTTTAAACATACTAAATAATCTACTCTAAAATATGCAGAAAATCTATGTTGGAAACCCTCTTCATTATCTGTTTTTCTACTTCTGTTACTTTTGGACAACGATCAACTAATAAATGAATTCAACATAGTTTTTGAGGTCTGATTACAGAAAACATTGAATTGATAATCATGTCCATTTTCTTGCTATCACAAGCACTTATTTTTCTGAGACTGTTAAATTAATGAAAAACACTTGCAGCGAAAGTCTTGGGCAGAATCACAGAACTATTGRGTTATTCACTGCTATAGCTAAAAGGTAAATCAAGTAAAATGATGCGGCTGAAATAATAAATCGCTAATATGATGTATTAAATTGAAACAGCCATATGAAAATCTGTGCAATAAAAATGTATTATCTTAGATGTTTACTGCAGTAGTTTAAAGAATAACCTACAAAAAACAGCGGTATACATAACACATAAATATATGGGCATCAAAATAATAAGCTGAGTATAACATTTTGAATTCTGATCTTTTATTTAATTCATACTTTAAGATAACTATTAAAGATGGTACGTTGCACAGGCTAGTTTACCCTGCTGATTCTTTGTTTTTACATTCTTAGATTGAAGACAATGCATGCTTTGTCTTCAGTTTAGGAAACTGTTTTTAATTCTTTTGAAATTACTGAGAAATCTTCCAGAAATAATACAAATGTAAAGATGCTTTGTTCTTATTTTACTTCTAAAAGTTATTTCATAAATTGACTGTCAGTCTGCAAGTGAAAGACATTTTTTTCCTCCATGCTATACTACTGTATAACTGCACAGAAATCTTGCTTTCTTCCAAGAGCCATAAAATTGGCTTCCATCAGCCAGAAGATAATGGATATGATGGAAAATTGACATGCTCTG